ACCCCGGCAAAACACGCCGAAGGGCGTCGTTTGGTCATCGGTCCAACGGTAGCATAGCCGGCAGCAGGTCAGCGACGAAGGTATACTACTACTGCGCGCCTGCGCTTCTTTGGGTTCCCTCAGTTATTGTGTTCATTGAGCCACAAACAGTTTTCTCTTCTCTGCATGGAATGTTGCTCAGGCTGTGCCATCTTCGCTTCTTTGTTGTAGGCAGGGAGCTTAGATAGTGTTTCTTTGCTCATTTCTCGTTCGTTGCGGCTTGATTTGTGGTCGATGAGCTTGGAAAGCAACGGGGCTAGCCGCTGGCCAGTCCCTCAAGACGGACGGTTCTCCTCCAACCACTTGCAAACATTCCAGGTAGACTTGAACAGTCATTGCAAGGTGTTCAGCAGTTCATGCTGATTTTGCCTGTCATGGGCGTTGTGGATGTGTACCTGGGGCATCGCTTCGATGATGACAGCAAGCAGAAAAAACTAAGTGGCATCATTGCGGCTTGGCAGAATCCAAGTGAAAGTAGTAAGCATCATGTGGCTGTTGAGGGCTTTGCATGACTTTGCGTTGCTTTTGAGATCTTTTGAGTATTGTGACATGTGTCATAGTTGTGAAAGTTGGGTTTGGCCTGGTCTTGTGCCCGATGAGAATCTGCAAGCAGTCTAAAAAGAGCATTCTTTTCTCTTGTGTTCTCATTGCCCAAGCGGTCAGTCGACACTGAGTCAACAAAGTAAGTCGACACAGGTGACCATCAGCACCATGCTTGGAATGTGGGCCTTCAAATCCTTATTGCCGCAGCTGGGCGCAAACTGGGCAGAGCGGCCCAAAGTAAGTCCAGTCCGCTGGCTGACCTGACCCCACAGGAAACGGATGTGTCGTGTTTTACGACCTTTTTCAAGAATGTGATCAATCTGACTTGACAGCAGTTTTTTCTTTGTGGCACCATCTTCTGAGTCTTCTCTTTTCAGTGGGGGTCGAGCACTACGTGGGGACCCCTTCACCAGTGCAACTGCTCTTGAGACAGCAAGTACGAAATGCCAGCTGTAAAGCGGACCGTCTTTGGCCTTCTCGAACGCACTCAAGCGGCTCATAAGATTGGTGTTTCACATTCTTTCACAGGGAAGCCGAGGGGTTTTCAATAACAACAGATTCAAATGCACTTTAAACGGTCTCAGGAACATCATTGTCCCGAATCCTGAACTCGCAAATCCGCCGAATCGATGTGCACCTCTTTGAGGCTGATCACTCAGAGCATCGACGGACTTGACAGCAAGAGCTTGAGCTCCATGGAGCACTTCTTGTTATTTCAGATGATGGCAGCCAAGCTCTTGGAAAAGATTCTGCCCTTCGCAGTGCCTTCGAGCCAATTCTTGGAGAAGCCGCTGGAAGACAAAGCATTGCAGGCAAAATAAGCAATTTGGAGGACCAGTGCCAACTCAAGCAACACTTCCAACACCACTTGGAACTTCAAACCTAAAAGGCAAGATCAACCAAGGTTCCCGTCATATGTCTCCCACCAAGGTGCCGGGAGACTTTGAAGGCACAAGCTGGATTATGCCACACGACACCTTCATTGAGATTCTGATGCTAAGCATGAAACGTCGCCGATTAGAGCGTGATTCTGATTTGTTTCAGTCAGATTGGATGGAGCCTTTTTGACTTGCCTGTCCTTGAGGACTGGTTTTATCATTTGCGTCTTGCAGCTTTCCCTGTCTACCTTGGGATTGCAGGTGTGCTGGGAGATCAGAGCAACGCCTGAGACAACATGAAGTGACCAAGCATCCCAATTGATAGGTTTAATATGGTTTAACCCACTCCGCGCTGGAGCAACATATTGCTTTTTTTTGGGGCACACTCATTTTGGCTGCAATCGCTGGCAGGCTTACCTGGCTGATGAGATTATGTATCCTGCTGTTGACTTTGAGTCAGACTTGCCTCCAGACACTTGCCTGCAGCCAGGCTTGGTTGTTGCAAGGTAGCACTTTTCGGGACACCGGAAAAAGCCCTTCGGTGAATAATCAGCCTCATGACTGCTTTGAACCCCTTTGGGGTGAGGCAAGTTGGAGAGACGTGCTCACAAAAAGCAATTGAGTCTAGTCTGGGGGAAAACTCCGTGTTTGTACCGAGGACACCATGGCCGCGCTGGATATGAGTGGTGTGGACCCAAGCAAATGGCAGCGGCTGCAACATTGGAAGGAAGCAGCTTCGCCTACAGACGTTGGCAGTGCGATGCCAACTGGCCCACTACTTTTAGGACACAAAGGCCCAAACTACATGAGAGCGGAGGCCCGGGCTGGGCGGAGGGGGGGTGAAGTTGACCGGTGAAGTTGACTGCTTTGTAAACAATACCTGCATCCCAGCAAGCTCAAAGGGCAGTACAAGGCTGTCCGGAGCACCCGCGCACAATATTGGATGCCTGCCAACAAGCAGCTGTGACTGGAAAGCTGCACTTGAAGCTAGCTCAAGCTGCAGTGGTGGCTAAATGCTGAGCCAACGTTGAAGCGAGTGGCCGAAGTGGTATGAAGTGGTACTGTAACTAGTCCAGCTTGCGGCAACTTTCACAAGCGATCGCAGGCAGCCTGGCACTTGCATGTGGTGGGACTCTGTTTTCCAAAATTACTAGGATTCAAGCATTCACAACTTTCATAAAAGCATGGTTTCTTTTGGCTAATTACAAGTAAACTTAGTCTTTGTTAAGATGCACACATGCCCAGTAGAAGATTCCCAACCACGCAGACTGTCATGGTCAATTCCTAAGCTCTGAAACCTATAGATTGTTTATTTTATAAATACAGAGGTCGGTTTCTGTCGCAGACTATCTTCCTGACACGGCACGTCGGATCAGATTGCAGAAGCCATCGCCAGGCACAGAAGCCATCATCTACCCAGGAAACTCAGCAAAACGAGGATGTGTGAGGGTCCGAAGAGACTCGTCGCCTTTGACCAAGATTTTCGCTGGTACCACGAGCTCCAATGTTCTCATGCAAAGACCATTGGACGGCTGCAAGATTAGTTAGTAATTAGTAGATGTCCATTAGACACTGCTGCTTTCGGCTTGGCCCAGCTTCCAGCTACAAAAGCTTGGAATCTTTTGCAGGGCTCTTGTAGTTACAGTTCTGATCCTTTGATCAGTTTTGATCGTAGTGTGAAATGTGAGGGCCACGCGCATGGGCTATAACAATGGCAACCCAGAGAACATGGAATGAAACGACTATTAAAAAGACAATCTTGCGTCCAACGTTCTATCTAGTACTACTGTCATTCATGACCTGAGATCACATGATTTTAGTAAAGGCCTACCGCTCGCAGCTTGCTGAATTGATGCATTGAATGCTGAAGTACTTGAATTTTACTGGGCTTTTGGTCTCACGCATTGACTGCTCCAATCTCCTTTGGGTGCTTCCCGACGCTTTGCCCGGGAACGGGCTTCTCGTGCAGTCCTAAGGCTGCTAACAATGTGCCCGCGGTGGCCTTCTTCGGCTGGCCGCTCTTGCCCATCCTCCCGCGACCAGACGCGAAAATCCTCACTTATGCAACTAGGCGGAAGAAGTGAGTCGTACACGGCCCAAAGAAAGCTTCAACAGGACCATATCCTCGGCATCCTTCACCAACAGATGGTGCTTGCTGACCTTTTTTTGCGATTTCCTCTTGAAAAGGTCTTTGGCTGTCCAAGGTTGGCCCTGGAATCGACATGCCGCACATCGAACAACCAACGCAAGAAGATGTGGATCACTGGCACAAGGCACACGATGTGGATCATAGGCTTTTGCCACTTGCCAATGTGGATCATGAAGCTACAGACATGTACAGCTACACGCCGTGTGCACCAATGATTGTCAATGTGTGACAACTCTAATCTGGAATTTGACTAAGTGAACGTTGTTTAGTCACTTGCAAGTAGAGATGCACAATTATTTCAAGTGAACCCATTCACCATGTTGGCAGGTTTACACGGAAGGGCTGCAGAAGCTTTTTGACGAGAAGAAGGTTGGGGCACGATTGACTGCAAACAAGTGTTTGTACATTGCTATTTTAAGCTTGCTTTGTCCGGCGATTCAAACTCGGGCAGAGGCTGGCTACCCAAAAGCAGAGCTGAAAATCTTCTGAAGAGCTCTGGAGGGTGTCTCAAGCTCTCTTCCCAGCTAAATTTTTGCTTCCATGCACGCGACAAAGGCAAAGAACCATTATCCTTCGTGTCTCTAGTAGGACGTATAGCTGCTTGGTCATTGTCAAAGGGAAAGCGCCTGAGCCAAAGCACATGTGATGGGCAAGAGTTACCAGACGTGGGTTGCCAGCAGAAACTCCTGGTCCTTGATGTGGAAGGGCGACCCTTACCGTTTTCTTGGGATTGTGGATCCCAGTCTTGCGCTCCGAAGAAGGATTGATCTGTGCAATGGCCGAGTCTTATTTCTCAATGATGCTCAATGTGAGCTTCGCACTGCTTCGCATAGCTTCGCATTGCTTCGCATTGCTTTTCGCATGGTTGGCCTCCAAGGTTGATACCTTCGAAATGCATAGATGACAGGTTTTGTTGACACCAGTTATGAAACATCCCTGGGCTGTTCCACTTTCGAAAGAGAGCCCTCCCTAGGTCTCTGACGGCACTTCTGTTAGAACCATAAATGATCATAAATGCTTCTACTATATAACTGGCCTTAGCTTCAGGACAACGCTTGCTGCTTCACGTCACCCAGACTTAGAGGCTTTGCAGCTTCCTACTTCAACACTTGCTTCCTACTTCAGACATGCCAACCAATTTTTTCAAGTCCTTCGGAGTCCTTCGGATGCTGCACCGTGCACTTTTTGCCAGTTTTCCACACCTAGAAATTGGCAAGAGGAAAAGTTGGGGCCATTGGCTGCGTGCTCCCCTTGGGAACGCCGCCCCGAGTCACTCATTTGCACTGTGGGTATATAGCCCCCACCAATTCAAGGCAAAATGGTCTTGTTGTTCGTTCCATTGAGAGTGACATGCACAAACGTTTTGTCTCTAGACACCAGTCTCTCGGTAGGCTCTGCAGTCTCCGAGGCAGACCGGAGGGGCATCGATGGCTGTCGTTAGATCAAAGAGTAACATGACTTGAACATCTTGAAAATTGTAAGAAACTTACACCGCACTGACTTGGAGCAGCTGGTCCCTTATATACAGAGCCCAGGATGGTAGGAGACTGCCTTTGACAGATTGAAACTCATCAGAGACCCAGATTTAGCAGTACGCCAGGGCACCAATGGTTTCAACCTCAGAGTTGGAGTGGCTTCCATGATGGTCATGTTCCTTTGAAAACGACAGTTTCCGATGTTAGAATTTAAGAACTAGCAGTGTTCTCCTGTCCCAAAAATGCGACTTCCGTGTGCCAAAGACCAGCTTGGTCCATCCAAGGCCGTGGCGAAACGAGAAGGTCCAACCCATCCCGTTTGGGCCTCGGCTGGTGGGCCGTGGCACGCTGCAGATGAGTGTGCGAGATTTGAGATTGAAAGAACGACTTTCACTGCGATCCACTGCCGCACTGCCGCACATGTTCTTAATGATAACTATGTTCTTAAATGTGTCTTATTAAATGTTCTTAATGATTACTATGGGAGCTCTGACTTGACAAACACTTTGCTTCATGCTGTGTCACGCTTGCTTCGTTGAGTTTCTACCCTTCCTCCATGGATTCTTCGCAGGCGGAGCTTTACCTCCTCCTCGAGGACTTTCCTGCAAAGGCAGGCAGAGACATGTTCCGCCCGGTTCCACCCGGTTCTCCCTTCATTTGGATAAGCCGCATATACGCCCATGCGGCTTAGATGGAAGCCCTCAGTGAAGCATTTTCCCTCAGAGAGGCCCTGTCCCTGAAGCGGACCAATCAGAGGATGCGGAGCCTCTGGTCAGAATGTTGCAAACCGGGACACAGAGATGAATTCAACAGTTGATCCAAAATGATCGAAATAAGCTTGGCACCACTTGTGTTCCAAGTCTCAAGTGGCCTTGGTTTTCTTGTCGCTGTTTTTCGAAGCTAGAGAACAAGAGAGCCTGCAAAAGACCGTAGGGGTAGGTATATGCTTCAAAATCTTCAAAATGAATCCAGTTCTTGGGGCTGCCTCCTCCATGTGCAACATTGTGCAGCCTTTGTCTTTGTTCCCCCACAATTGACACAGTTTTTGCACGTCTGCGGTTTGTAGATTGTTTGATATTGTTTGTTTCCTTCAAATCGGTGGTTTAGAGAAGCCCTTCAATCTGACCAAACGAGCCCATTGATGATGTTCTGTTTTCGCTTCGACTGCCATGGGCGTTTGATACAGATGTTCTCATAAGCCCAATGGTAAAGGGTCAAGCTTTGCTTCATGAACCCACATTTGGAGCCCATTGATTTGTTTCTCAGGTTGCGGCTCGGCTGCTTTGAGATGCAAACAACAGAAGTAAAGCGTCTCAGGCTGGGTGGGTGAGTATGTGCTTCCAGCGCTTGCGACTTCAATCATACAGGCCCTGACTGTTTGAGTAGTATGCCGGCTGGAATCTGGAACATGCTGGAGCACTGTAGACCTGAAAGACCTTGTGAAAGACTTCGACACAACTACTAGTAATGCATGTGTTACTAGTAGTCATGCCCTTGTTACTAGTAGCGATGCACCTTGTTACTAGTATTCTCTGTCACAGCCGACACATCGACTCTTAGCCCTGTGTCGACCTGCTTTTCACTGGAAGGCCGAACAGTCCATCAGTGAAGGCACCGCTGGCAGCTGCTCCAAAGCCACCAGCGCCTGGCCCAAAGCCAAAGCCCCCAGTGCCCAAGGTGGATGTGGAAGCAGCCCAGCTTGCCAAGGACTGCAGTTGATTAGCGATGTGCGATGTGATTTAGACGAACCCAAACACACTGTGAAAGGGTATAAGACAATGTCAGAAGTGTGATGTGAGTGCGAATGTCGACAATCACAGACTCACTCCTTACGCGCTTTTGTGACATTGTTGATGCAGCAGAGCCGCAGGAGCAAACCCAACGCCGTGAGCGGGAGTACTTCAAGCCTTATATAGGCGATAGATTAAATTCATTGGTTCCTTGTTTGGGCTGCAGCTCACATCTAAGGCATTTTGTAGGAAGGCTGAACCGAAGCATAGAGATTGGATGCACAAGCTTGCTTGCAACACATTTTTCGATGTCCTGACATTTGGCTGCCACTGGCTCATGAAAAGACTTGTGCTTCCTGACCGTTGCAAGCATGGCGCGACCCTTTCTTGTGACCTGGCTCAACCCTGTAAATCGGCGAAATGTATGTGGATCATGTTCTCTTGTCAAGCCGAAGGTTCCTGTGAGTTTCTCAACTTCCCACGGTGGAATGAAGTTGCTGTGCTGGTCAGCAAGCTAAGAGTTCACCAGTTCACGAGTTCCAACATAATTAAAGCATGTGCGCACGTGCCAGACCTGGATTCTATATTTTTTGTGACGTTTTGAGGTTGTGTTGCTGGCCCATCTCTCCAGAAGCTATGCAGAGGTTCAGGGGGAGGCCGGAGAAGCTTTGATGGGGTCAAATGGTGAGGGTGTGAAACCCTGCTTTCGGAGCATCACACTCTTTTCCAAAGAGCGTTGTGAACCCAGCTGCAGAGCCCAGCAACGTCAGATGGTGCAGGTGGACGTTGCAACATTTGGCATGTTCCTGCTGGACGTGCCACAAGAAGAGCGAAAAGGCGTTAAACCACACACTGGTGGGCGTGATGATTGCAGAAGCATTACGTAATTCGGTCTGTATGAATATGTTCAGCATGAAGTGTAGTAGTGAATATATAATATGAAAAAATATATCTAATATCCATGGAAGAGTCATTGCACAACTGACCATCCTGTTAACCAGTTTCTGTTGGGCGTACTGTGGTCAGAGCTGCAAAAGAGGCGTCGGACGCTCCTGGCGGTCCTTGCGTCTTCGGAGTGCCCAAGTGGTTCCGGGTGTGGGGAGGCCAAGTTGGAAGTCAAGACAGCCATGGAGAGCCTCTTTGGCCTGCTGATTAAACTGGCATGCTGCATAATTATAGATGCTAGGCAGCATCAGTTTCATATATATATATATATGATTGTCTCAGTGATTTCACTTATATAACTAGCCCTTGTGATGCACAAGAGTCGCAAGAACGCCCTACCCAGAATTTGGGATTGTAGAGCTGCTTGGGAAACAAGTGATGTCACGATCCCGCCAGCGACATAATATAGTCAATCTTTAGGCTACTAAGTGTAAGCCAATATATTGCACTGTGCTGGCAAAAGAGTGCAGCAGGGTGTTGTGTTTTCAAAGGAGAGAATGAGTTTGTATGAGACCTAAAGCGCTTGGGCCTACCCTGATCCAACCACATGTCGCTTCATGCTTTTGGCAGGTAGGCGTTATGGCACTTGGTGCTTACCGGGCTTACCTTTGGCAAAAGGGCCTAAAGCCGGAGTCAAGGAACCTGCTTCATCAGGAGAGCGCCGTTGTGCAAACAAGATTGAATTGTCAGATTTCATCTCCAATGCAAATCCTTTTGCTGTTGTTGTCCTTTTGTACATGATGCCTACACTCCTACATTGGATCTTCATTGAAGGCCTCTCCACTTTGACATGCCCTGAGTCTCAGGAGGCATCCAGTCCTGCCCCTCCAGCACAACACAGTCCAGTGTGGCCGGAGCCAGTAGTGAAGCCCCGCCGGCCATGGTTTGAGATTGCAGATCCATTCCACATCTCGGGAAGTCTTTATTCTGCTTGCCTTGATGTCAGAATTGCTATTTGATGCAGTCAAATAACATGTGCTTGAAGCATATTACAATATATTACATATGTTTGCATTGCTGCCGTTCCGTGGAAAGCTTGCCATTGTGCATCACATCCTCGCAGGTCACATCCACGCCCGCGCTGGGCATTCTTCCTCGGAGCCTTTGCATTCCTGGCTGTCCTGCCACTTCTTCGCCGTCGAAAGCGTCGCGCTGGTTCCAAGGTGTCATGCCAACATGCTGAAACAACAGACCTGATTGGTTGGCTGTAAGTGTTGACAGGATCGAGGGCAGCCTGTGCCACAAGATTCTTATTTTTTATGCAGAAGTGACGCTAAAAGCACAGTGGCTCTTGCGGAGTAAAGGTGACATGAAATTATGCTTTCTAGGTGAACACTTGTTCCCATGGCCTCAGCTTTGCATGACCGAAAGATGTGAAGTTGTTGGAAGTTTGGATTCATGGTCTACCATTTGATAGTCTTTGGAGGGATTTAGAGTCGTGCTTTGATTGGCGACAAGCCGGCTAGGGCAATGTGTCAAGTCCAGACAGAGTCATTGCTTGCTTGCCTGACGACAAAGTGACTTGGTCTTAAACAGTTTATGTTTTTCTCACGTCTTATTCTTTATGTAGAAATTGCTGTTTGAAACCTAAGAACCAAGTATTCAGGATATATCTATATATTAAAGGTTCTTTGATGTTCTTTGTGTGCGTTTGTTCAATGTATTTCGAAAACTCAGGTTGGAAGCGGGGTGCCCGGAGATGTAAAAGGCTATGAGGGAATCATCGCAAAGAAGGAAGGCTACTGGTCTCTGAGTGGGGCATCGGGAAGATATCGCTTCGACCCTGTGTCTGGATGGCTCACCAGTTTCGATTCAGGCGAGAAGTTTGGATGCTTCATTTGCAAGAAGATCCAACCACATCCTTTGCAGTTTGCAAGTAGCTTCTCCAAAGTCACAAGCCTCAAGATTTTGTCCTCAGAGATCATGACAGAGATCCAGCGGAAGGAGAATGCTGGGGCTCTCTTTGTTTTGCCTTCACAGCTCAATGGCGCCGAATATCCCTCACACACCCATGTCGTGAAAGAAGTTGAGGAATATAAAAGAGACAACACTGGTGGACCCAGGGGGCAGCTTGCAGCACATCCAGCTGCAGCTCAGTTCCTCAGCTGCAACAGGGCTACCGCCTTGTTTTACCAAGACATGGCTCCCCCAAATCATGCAAATGGCTCCTTCGTGATACATTGCCAAGTACTCCTGTTTTTCTTTCACGTCAGAATGCTCACGTGCTGTCAAGGGGATACTTTAGTAGTTGAGCACTTGTGAGTTCGGTTCGTGACGGTTCCGTCAGGTTCATTTTGGACAATGCAGCCAAAGATGGGTGCACTGGTGGCATCAACTCCATTGATGAGATCTTGTTTCAAGTCGGTCCAAACTTTGAATTGGTGAATGGCTATTTGAAGATTCGAGACTTGCCGGACAGCAATGCGGAGGCTGAGACTTTGGGTGTGCTTGAAAGCCATTTGAATACCTTGCGCCCTTTGATCATGGAGGATCTGCCTGCCAAGGGACTGATGCCCGATAAGAAGGCCTTTGCTGATTGCACTCATAAGGTAGGCCTTGTGTACGCATCAGCTGTTCCAGTCGACTCATACATGAATCAGGGAGGCAAGACGGATTTTCAGGCAAAGGTGGCAGAATTGATCCTGGTTGGCCAATACTATGGTGCTTTAAGATATGCAGCGGAAAGTGAGAAAGAGAAGGGACCAGGACGTCCACGGAGAAAGGTGTTTTTGATGCCTTTGGGAGGAGGTGTTTTCAACAACCCATGGGACATCATCGGCAAGAGCATGGCCAAGGCGGTGCAGATGCTCGATGATGATTTGCTGGCATTGCTGGATGTCTCAGCACTTGTGTGGAATCGAAATCCTTCTGAAGAACAAAACCTGAAGCTGATCTTCGGAAAGCTGCGATCTCATCCAGCCAGCAGCCCAGAGCAGCCTAGATTTCCAGAGCCCATTTGGACAGGACATTACTTGACGTGGTTGATCAAACGTTGTCAAACGAGTCAAGGTCTTATTGAGTCAAACGTTACATCCGAAGGATGCATCCAGACGCTTCCAACGGTCCGACCAGACGGTTCCAATCCGTAGACATCACTGTCGTTTGCCTTGTCATCTTCTGCAAATATACGACAATGATATCACAGTCCATGAATACACTGCAAGAGTTGGACCAGAAGAACATATTTGTGCCAAGGAAGGTGTTGAAAGCATGGTGATTCGTTGAGAAATTCTCAAGTCAATGCTTCACGCCTACTGTACTCATGTCTCCTGCTATTGTTGGAAGATCACCCTGAGGTGCCTGGCCTTGGAAAGACCCAGCTATTCAGGTGAGACGAGGGTTACTTCTGGGATGCAGATGTTTTGATGACATGAGGTTTCTTCATGGATGCAAGCTCAATGCTGCTGGCAGGTGTAGAATGGTTTCGTCTTTGATTATAAACGCGCAAGTGTCAGATGCACATTCACTGAATATAGAAATATATTTGGATCAGCTTACTTTTGCCTGCGTCCAGCTGAAGCAAAGCTTTTTGGGTTATGCTTATCATTCACAGAGTCGAAACCTCGCCACCAAGAACGCAGGATCGCGACGGGACAGCCAGATGAGGACACGGATTACAACGTACCATTCATATGGCCGACATGCGGTGCCGTCACGGCTGACCCGCGTTCGAAGAAATCACAGGTTTGGAAGAAGAGGTTATTGAATATTGTAATTACTGTAATTTATGAACATGCAGAGGGCAGGACCTGTGGGAAGAATTCTGGTGTTGCTGTGATATAGGAGGGAGGGTTCCACTTGACTTGAACCTGACAGTTTCAACTTGTGAGGAGCCAGAGCCTGCTCACTGGAAGCGGATGATGTCTGAAATGTCAGAGGTGTCCGACAGGCTTGTGCATCAAACCTCCGAAATGTCTTGATCTGATCAAGCTTTTTTGAGTATTTTCTCAAGTACACCCCGAGTTGATTTCTTCAAACGCATGTATCTTGCTTGCTAGTGCACCTTCCCAGGCCCTTGATTCTTGAGGAGCAGACTGCCCCTTGCCAGGTTCAGAATATGTTTGGGAAACCGGGAAACCTGAAACAATGTGGTGTAGAACCAAACGAGTTCAGGCAGGAGCTTAGAGGCAAGACACTGAGAGATATTTGAGATTAGTTTATGACTGTTTATTATATAGATCTATTATAGTGGAATTGCATTCGAGCTTGTGCCCAACAATCACTTCGCACATATTGTATTA